GTTGCCTACATGGGGGAGGTGAGCCTGTCTAAAGCAAGGCCAGGAGAGGTGGCAGGTTACATGGCTACAGCTCCGGGCTTACTGAAAGTGTGCCAGACCTTTTTGGCCTGTATTATCTTCATCCTGATCAGCAGCCCAGTGACATACAACCATCATCCAGCACTGAAGTGGTGCATGGCAGTGTACTGCATCTGCTTCATCCTCTCCATGGCTGTGGTGGTGCTGTGTGTGGGAGAGTGGACCGGCTGTCTCCCCATCCCATTCTCCAAGTTCCTTTCGGCATACGGGCTCCTGGCAGTTATCATGTATTTGACTGCCACCATCCTCTGGCCTGTGTTCCAGTTTAACAAGAGTTACAGGAGAAACGATAACTCAGAAACAATCGCTGCATCTGTAATCACTGCCATCAATTTCCTGCTTTATGTTGCTGACCTAGTGTACAGTGCCAGATTAGTGTTTGTCAGTGGCTGAGAAGAAGAGAGTAAACAATAGCTTTGCAGAGCAGTAGAGCTAATGCTGAGCTCCCCCCCCCTTTTTTTAAACCCTGAATTTAAAAAAAAATATTGAAGTCCTACAAAGCAGTCCCAAATTTGAAAAGCCTGTTTTGCCTGTGAGTATTTATTTATTTGAATGTGATCAAATAATTGCCATACAGTATTTAACCTCTAATGTGAAATGATGTGTGCAACACAACTCTTACGTCAGCTATCAAAGTGTGAGATTTCACATAATTGTGTGGGAAAAAAGTACATTATGTACTATTAAAGCCAATAAAGTCAGCACACTGGAGCACAGGGGGGTGGCAAAATTGGGCACTTGCATTTCAACACGCTCTAACTGAAAGATCATCATCTTGTAATCTTTTGTTAATAGTGCTTTAAAGTCATATCAGAATCAATTTCATAATAATGGCAACAAAGTATTATGATATTTGTATTAGTTAAAAAAAATAAAGCTTTTATCATAAAACAAATATATCTCAGACTTTTTACTCACTTGGAAATAGAATAAGTGAGATGAGCTGTCAAAGATGACAGTATCGATAATTAGTTATACTTAGTCATAAAAAGTACTTTTAATTCAAACAGTCATGCGTTTTCACCCTTTAAATAATTGCTACAATGAATACAAGAACTTTCATTTCATTGGAAATCTATACGTCTTTTTAAATACCCAACACTGATACATGAATCACTTGAGAGGAGACCCTGCAGGGCGGAAGGCACTATTCAGTATTTTATGCAAAGTCTGGCATGTGTGCCACACTGCTGTGTATGATTTCTTTAAGTAGTGAAATTTGTATTGTGTATTGTTTACACTGTTGGTCTCTGCCATATTGCAGTGTTAAAGCTATTGCAGCATTTCCAGAAGATGTTAATCAGTGTTTTGGTGAATAAGTGTGGCAGCTACCTTCATATCCTTAAAACACAATATTGAAAGAAACTTTAAAGGATGAAAACCAGGTCCAGGTGGAGGAGCAACCTGAATAAACGGAAAGTACATTGCAAGCAAACAAAGAAGCAGGTATGGCAATGTGATACAGAAAGAAGGAAAGAAATACAACAAAAATGGCTGAATTACACAAAAGCAGAGATCAGACAGTTTAGTTTTTAGGGCCTTTGGGGAAATTTTGGCAGGCACTACCATAAAGTGCCAACATTGGCATACTGGGAGAGAACTATTAAAAATGCAAATTATTTTAATAAAAGGAAAATCAGAAACAGGCATGCTTAAAGGTGACTTTACAGGATGTTATGCAGCAAAAACATCATAGAAAAAGGTACAAATGAAGCAGAGGCTGAATAAAGTCTAAACTGGTGTAAATGTGATTAAACCTTTAGGGAGACGGACATGGCTGGACTGGGACAAAAAATCGTACCCCTGACGTCATTCAGGGGTAAAACCGCAAAGGATTCTGGGAACT